TTGCCAGCTGGGGTTAAACCATGACAATAGTACAGGCCTTATCATGGTTCATGAAAGCAAAACAGAGGAAAGCTTAAGATTCTACAGTATGATTTTGTAGCAAGTAGTGGGTTGGCAGGCAGCAAAATCCTGCAGGATTTTTTGGCACATCTTCACACGTCAAACAATCTCTAAGGTAATCGCTCAGATTTACCCAAGGTTATGCAAGTTGTGTGGTATTCAGCCCCGGGGTTTAATTTAGTGACGTGTAATTCAAGGGCAATGACTTGGAAATTGCTAGATACACTCGTGACTCTGCAGACAAATACTGAAAGTTTGGCAAGGCCCAAAGTGTCGACTGCTCTCAGTTTTCATTTTGGCAGTATCGGGAGGTATCTGTCATCCTGCTGTGAATGAGTGCTTTGATGCTAGATAATTTGGATGAATGGAAGTAATTTCCTATTCTACCCTGGCACTTTAAAACAGATTTATTGGACAAATAACTTAAACTTATTTTCTCTTTTTCCCTCCCTCACTGTAGGTTCTCACTTTATTGATCAATGCAGCTTACAAACCTAGCCGTGTCTTGCGAGAACTGCAGTTGGATGAAGAGGCTGCATGGCATGGGCATGGAGAGACCCTAAAAGCCAAGTAAATTCTTTTCCTGTTCCCCACTTAGTTGATCCCAAGAGCAATGTTCTGTGCAGTCTATGCTTTAAATTCTTACATTTCAGAGAAGGAAAAATTGCTTATAGCATATCAAGATGTTGACAGCCATTAAAATTTCAAATCTTTATAAACTTCTTTATGAATGTCAGGTGAAGTGCATCTGATTTTAATGCTCCTTAGTATGCCAGGTGCACTCTGCTACTGGCATGTAAGCAGCTAGTGGTGAAGTAAGAATGGTGTACTGGTACAATATAGCATATACACTGGCAGACCTGCAGGTGAGGTTCAAGATAATTTAATTCACCTGAAGATAATTGTCAGTATTCTAAAGCAGAAGCACATACTGCTTAGGAAGCTTCTCAGACTTGCATGGCATTTCCACACAACTTTCTCAGTGGAAGAAGATTCCTCTGAAATTAAGTTATAGCAGTGCTCTGAAATGGCCTGGCACGCAAGTCTTTCTACAACAGCCTTCCCTAAAGCACTGCCTAGTTTTCCTCCTGAGTTTTTTGGGTTGGAACTTCTTTGTGAGATTATTTTGTGGCTAGGAAAAAAGCAGTGATCATATTTACGTATATTTGATAAATCCAGATATTCCTTTATAGTCTAGTGATGGTCTTTTAATTAGGTCACTGTGTTTGCATACTAGAGATTAGATTTTCCCAATGTGCCATAGCACACTTCTACATAGTTTTGAACATGTCAGTAATTCTTTTGTTGGATCGATTTCGTATGTAAAAAGACACCTTTCCATGTATTGACGGATTGCTTTGGATTTGGACAATAGGAAGATCATAAGAAAGGTTAATGTAAATAGAAGATGTAGCTGAAGAATAGAGAAAAAAAAAATTTGTTTGATTTCACTGAAGTTGCTCTGTGCTTTCTTTTGTCACAGTAGTGACACCAGGGATATCTGGACTGTGATGATATAGCTCTTTTTTTCAACGCATTAACTCGATACTTGCAGGCCTGAGACATCCCTAGTAGATATCAGCACATGCCAGTACCTGTGCGGGGAGAACAAAGCAGAAATGGTGAATGACTCTGGCAGATATTTCACACTGCGGTTCTGTCATGGCAAGGCTGATGAACAAAAAGAAATTTTTTCTTAATTTAAATCAAACTGGAGCAATATGTGGAATCATGGCAAGTGACTGTCCTGACAAATTGTTGAGCAGTTAGATGAAATCTGATTGGAAATGTAACAGTAGTTCGTTTGCCATGGTATGTGCACAGAATGGCTCACTAGAAGCTGTCTGCTGTTACCTTTATTAGCTGAATTGGTGCACTCCATCTTGGTTTTGGGGACCAGCTGTCTACATCACAGTGGACACTTCTGCAGTCCCATAAAAACAAAGAAAGAACAAACCATCTGTGAACAAAGAAAGTAAAACATCTAAACTCTGGGATAGTCCTCTCAGATGGTATTTTATAGTCGCTGGCAGGGCAATGTTGCTGTGTTTGGTACTGCAGCTGTCTCTCTGGTGCTGACTGTTTCATTGCTTTGAGGATCTGTCATAAGAGACAGGACTACCTGTTTCCTGGAGTTGTCAGTCCATAAAGTTCCTCATTGCTCAGGTTTTCCCCAAGTTTGATCTCAAAGCAATATTCTTGTACATGTCTCAATGAAGTACTTTTATGCTGGTAATTGGAGGATTCCTGAATTATGACCATATTTTCAATGCTAGGTACAAAGGGAAGAGCTACCGTGCAACTGTGGAAGTTGTGAGGACGGCAGATCGGGTGGCAGATTTCTGTAGAAAAACATGTATCAAGCTGGAATGTTGTCCAAACCTCTTTGGCCCTCAGATGGTGCTGGATAAGTGCTCAGAGAACTGCTCTGTCCTGACAAAGACTAAATACAGTGAGTAGGCCGCTGATCTCAAACAGAGGTGGGGCTTGGGGTGTTGTATTTTGGTTTTCTTTTGGCTTTGGCTCCAAAGGGAGTCCAAAATACATTGCTTTGCTTACACAAGGAGCAGCTCAAGCACTACATACACAGGCCTACAAAATATCCACGTGCCAGTGTGTAGAGGATAAAAAATTAATTCTATATTAAGGGGTAGAACCATGGCTTAACTTTTTGGTGTGTGCTTAAAGCTTTATCTTCTTAAGACAACTTTTAGGACAAGAACTGACTCTAATATTGTAATTTAAGTGGCATTGTAATTGCTTTTACCAATTTATTGTGGAACAAAATAAAACACTTTCAAGCTCTTTTCTTAGCTTTTAGGGTTTTTAGGGTTTTCTTAAACTAACTTGAACCGTTTGACACTGTGAGAACAAACAGGGCATTGAGGCCATGTTTAAAAACTACAAGAAGATCACAAAAAGTGCCATTAAATTGGACCAAGTCTGTGGCTGATGATTTTTGTGTAAAATCTGATCATTTGGGGCTTCTCAGAGATAGAGAAAGTAAATCTTTATAGGGCAAATAAAATTGATTAGTAACTCTTCTTCTTTAAACCAAATTGAAGAGGAAAATATAGACGTACTCATTTTGAAGTTTTGCAGAATTGGGATTTCTATTGGGAAATGTCCTTCTACTGATTTTCTAGTCTTGATGATGGACAAACATAACTAGTGACGTTGAAGGTGCATTTCAACACGGTGCTCCTTTCTTCTGTCCTGGTAGCACACTATTATGGAAAGCGGAAAAACAAGCGGATAGGTAGGCCTCCAGGTGGACACAGTAACCTGGAAGTAGCCATGAAGAAACCAAATAAAAGACGGAAGAGACGAAAACATTTTTTTGTTCATAAGAAGAAACGTTCTTCTACTTCAGTGGATAACACTCCAGCTGGATCTCCCCAGGTATGAGACTGCCAACAACTTTAATAGACACGGTATGTGATCTTCGACCAGCTACATTTGAAACAACAGACTGTTAGTTTCTTGTAACCTCAGGTTACAGCTGACAAATGGGTGGCAATTGTAGCTTTTGTCCTAAACTTTCAATTTTTTTTATTTCATCACTTTTTTTTTTTCCCTACCTCTTCAGGGCAGTGGGGGAGAAGAGGAGGATGACCAGGACGAGGTAGATGAAGAATCTCTGACTGAGGATAGTACCTCAGAGCACCAAGACGAATTGCTTGAGGAGTCAGAGGTATCAGAGAAGAAATCACTGTCATCCTCTCCTACACAGAGTGAACTGTCTCATTCCCTGGCTCAGGACCGAGACAAGCGGAAAAGGAAGCTCAGGACCTTTTCCTTTTCTGATGATGAAAATAAACCTCCTTCACCAAAGGTAACTTTGAATGTAGATTTGTGTTCTAGGCTTGCTCACTGTTGGGCAAGCACGAATGTCTTGGGAGTATTAGCCATCATACACATGTTCTCATAAAATACTCTGTTACCCCATAAAGGGCATTGTGAAGACACTACAGAATAATTAAAAATCATGATTTCTATTACAGGTGCATTACAGGACTGTAATAAAAACTAAAAAGAAGGCTGTAGGCAGAACAGCGAACTTTCTATTTCCCAGCTGTTAGCACTCCTTTTGGTTCATCCTGAGCAGTGATGTGGTGTTGACCAAATCCTGATTTTAGATCCCTGCTTACTGGCTATAACAATGCTATAGCCTCTACCCTGAGCACAATGCCATTGTGCACATCTCTGCTAACCAAGAAACCTCTACAATTTGAGCTCTCATTGAAGCTTTATTTGGCAGCTGAATGTTTGAGTGTGGGGGAGTAGAGGGGATTCCACATGTAATATTTTGGGAATTCTTTTTGTGCTGGGTGGCTTGTCTAGGACATAAAGATAGAAGTTGCTGAAAAGCTGCAGCTGGACAGTAACCCTCTGGAATGGAGCGTGGCTGACGTTGTACGATTCCTCAAGTCCACTGACTGTGCACCACTGGCAAGAATTTTCCTTGATCAGGTATGATTCTCTGTCTGTTCAAATGTTGAATCTGTTACTCTAATGAATCACAAAAAGAAGCTAGTTTAAATTTTATAATAGGGTTTTGAGGAAACAAACGCATGCACAACATTCTGCAGTTTGGGAGAGGAGGGTTAAGGGAATGACCAGAATTTTTCAGGTTTCTTAGTACTCAGTGGAGGACGTTTTGGTCTGTGGGGCATCTGAATCCCAACATGCCTACAACCAAGCAGCATGAAGGCAGGAGCCTGTTTTCTAGGAGATACAGTTTTGCCACTTGTGTTGACTTTTCCAAATTATGAATGTTTTCCATTCTGCAGACTAACTACAGGTATCTCAGTGTTGTACAGCTGCACAACAAGTGAACATTTTTGTGTTGAAGTATGACAACTAGAGTACAAACATGAGTCAAGTTAACATTGTTCTTGCATCTTGGTTAAAATTTGCCATGAAAAAACATCATCTATCAAAACTGTAGTACTGAAACTGGTGATGAATACGTTTTTTGATAGATGTTCCGGAAGATGTACTTTTCCTTGCAGAACCTCTGTTTCTCTAAAAAGATGCAGAGGTTAGGTAAAGTGACTTTCTGCATTAAGTTTTCTTGGTTTCTGTTACTAGTTTATTTTTTAAAAATAGCATCTCATGAGGTTCTGTCTCTTAGCCAGTGAATTTGAGCTGACATTTTAAGAAAGGAGTTAACTTGTTCTGAGAAAGAGAGATTTTTTTTTTTTTTTTTTTTTTTTTTTTAAGCTGTCTGGAGTAGCACGAAAGAAACGTCTAATTCCTAAACAGTCATGAATCTGAAATTACAGCAAGCCAAAGCTGAAGGAGCAGGGAAAATAAAAATGCAAAGTCACTATGGAGTTTTTGTCTTCCAACAGGAAATCGATGGCCAGGCACTGCTGCTGCTGACCCTGCCCACCGTTCAGGAGTGTATGGACTTGAAGCTTGGGCCAGCTATTAAACTTTGCCATCACATTGAGAGGGTCAAACTTGCCTTTTACCAGCAGTTTGCTAACTGAGGAGCAGCCAAATTGAAGTGGACCTTTGAAGCACAACTACAAAAACATGCTCCTTTCTCTCTATCAAGGAAAGCCAAATGAAGTTAAACTGGGGCCCTGGTGACCTAAGAGCATCTGTCAGCCTCAGTTTTTCACTTTGACAAAAGGAAGACAACATCTGGAGCAAAATGCCAATGCAAACACAGGGGCTACTCTACCAGCTGCCAGCTCGGGAACACAATAGTCTCTTGCTCTATGGTTCCCTTTTTTAAATATATTTTTTAATTATTACAGAAAAGTCTCCTCTGGTGGGAAATGACATTTCAATAGTTCTGTTGGCACGGAACTTTAAAAGGAGAAACGGATCCTGTTTACATTAGCATGTAGGCTGCCAGAAATAACCTTTCTCTGTTCCTCATGATTCACAGAATCCCCTTCCCTCCCTGTGGACGAACACTTGCTTTACCACAGCACTGGCTTTGGAATGTGCTTTTTGCACATTCATGTGTTAATGTTGAGTTTTTTAATGAATTTGTTCATTGTTAGGACAACAACATGGCCATGGGGTTCTGAATGTACAGTATACCAAGAGTGTGGTTCCTTTTGGGTTTTTTTTTGTTTATTTTGGGTTTTTTGTTTCGTTGTTGGGCTTTTGTTTCATTTTGTTTTTACTACCTCTGTAGCCTGAACAGTAGAAGTGATGAACTAAAAAGGGAGGGAACTACTTCTTCTGGACAAATCATCTGTAGCTACACAGCAGTCTCTCTTCTGTAGGCATGTCAGGAGTACAAATCAGTGTCAGCATACAGAGCTTCTGTTCCAAAGCTTTGGCTGAAACCTGTGTAGGCTTAACCTAGATGTTACCTTTTTCTCAGATGTCAGAAAACTTAATTATTTTGCACTTCTCTTACAGACAGGCTGTAGGAAAAAAGGAAGGAAAGAGAAAGTGCCTCTGCATTTTCTGTATTTTGGTTGTCAGATAAAATTTCTTCTTTTTTTGGTTTTTTGTTTGTTGGGTTTTTTTTAAATTGTGTGACGTTATTTCCTTTTTCTTATAGCAAACAATTGGGCCACGTACACAGAGCCTGTCAGCAGACTTTTGCTTTGCTACTGGAACATCTTTTTAGAGAATAAACTAAGAAAACTGCAATCAATAGAGGACTGCAACTTAGCTCTGCCAGTGTTTGCATACTGGAAACTATCTTATGAGCATGACTTTGTATTTTTAACTATTTACAGCTGCTCAGGATCAGACTTGATGAAAATGTGGCAGGTTGGGAAAGGGTTTGTGTGCTTTTTTTAGGGAAAAGGAAAAGGACCAGAGAGACATCTAGTTACATCAGTAGATCCACAGTAGGATGAACTGCTGATTTTAATTTTCCAGGGTAACAAAACCCAATCAGCCATTTGCTGTATACCTGTGCTTTACACTTTAAGTAACAGGGCTTACCTTACTTTCCATTAAAGATGTGGGAAACTTGCAACAGGCTCAAGATCTGCATCAAAGAAGCATTGGGTTTCAGATGGCTTGCATTCATTCACTCTGCCTGTTCTCAGAGTATTTGGAGCAGGAGCTTTATGTGTGCAGCCCTGTTCCTTTATCTCCTATTCAAATATACATTTTTGCAGAAAGCCCCTGATAGTAAGGCATTTGAGGTAGGAAGGTGCTCACTGCAGGAATTTGTTTAGGAAGGATGCATTTGCTGGTTTCTGATAAACACTGGTTACTCTGGACAAATGGATTGATTCAAGTGTCTCTTAGGCCTAATGTGATCGGTTATTCTGATGCTGTGAGCTGTAGGATTCAGCAAGGAGGTCGCCTGTAAACTAAGAGCTGAGTTGGCACAATCTATGTGTCTGTATCTGCCACATAGGTGGTGAGAGGGAGCTACCTCCAATGAAAACTGTTTAGAGTAAACGAAGCTAAATAACTGGGGTTTATTTCTTTTGCCCCTTAGAATAACTGCCTAGTCAAGGCCGAACTATTTACAGAAGTGCTAAAATCAGATTTTTTTTTTTTTTTTCCAATTCCAGAATCAAAACATAAATGTTAGACAGACTGTTTACTAGCTGAGTATTCTTGAGGGAGGGAGGGCAGTGTGTAGCTGGGACAATTTTTTTCTCCCAAGTTGAAGCAGAGTCTGGAAACATAATTAAATTGAAATCAAAGTGCTCCTTCTTCCTCACACCAGATACATGGCCAATAAATGGACATTTTAGCTCTTCATTTTGTGCTTAGGTCATCTGCCTGTACTCCGTTCCCTTAGGACAAGTTCAGTGATTAGCCATTAGGCCTGAAAAATTTTTTGAAAGAAACATTGCTGCTTTGCTGTCAGTGTCTTGTCTTGAAAAATTTGACCAGCAGAGAACTTTTGGGCTGGAAGATGATGCTTTTGGATCATATTTATCATTCTTCAGGGTTTCCAGAACTCTGATGCCCAGCAAAATTAACCTGCATAGCCAAGAGATGTTGGTTCCACCTTTCCCCATTGACAGATAGATGTCTTTTTAAGTAGTTGTCAGGAGAGAACAGAGCTTAAAGGGTAATTTAGTGAACCTGTTAACACAGCACCTAGGGTTTTAAATACAAATGTCATACTTCTTTTTCTCAGTAAATAAAGCAGTCAGCAGTTTCAGAGGGTAGTGGATACTTACTGATCACCTTTGGCATGTTTTATAGGCTGGATTTTTCTGCCTTGTTTTGGGAGGCACTGACAGTCTGGTCCCAATGGGATCTATTTTTGTTGAGATTTTCAAAAGGGTTGTTTTCATTATTTGTGAAATGTTTTTATGCTGCACATGGGTACTGTACACTCTGTTTCCTGGAAAAAATGCACTCTTTTATTGCTGGATTTAAAAGGGATAATTGGGGCTTTATCTTGATGGATGGTGTTTCTACTTGACTGTGTTTCAAGTTCCTCTTTCTCTATGTGTGGCAGATGACACAACTGCACTTACATTTGTCCATCTTATTCCAACATGACTTGAAATCAGCTCATGTGCTGCTTTAGTTGCTCTGTTTCTTCAAAACTGGATTTTGGGTAGCTGATGGCTGAATCTTGGCTTTGGGTGATACTGATGTTTCACCAGCAGGAGTTGCTGGGACTGCAGTAATTTAGGCTTCAGGGATTTGTGCTGTCCTCTACCACATCCATTCACCATAAGATATGACAAAGCTGGAGTCCAGGAGAAAGACAGTGGTGTCTTGCACAAATGCCTTCACTACAAGAAAACGAGCCTTCCATTGGGCCTCGTGTACTGTTTATATGGATGGTGAAAGGAGATGTCCCTTGGCTGACCCATTGAGGGTTTGTATTCTTGCTTGTCTTATTTTCATATGTATTGTACAGTCTTGGTTTTGCACATCGTAGCTTTAGAAACCTGGTGGTGCCTCCATATGGCACTCATACTGTGCTAAGCTTAACCCTGTTAGGCAGAAAGATTTTGTTGAGTTACTATAGTGTGCTTTCTGCACCAACACAAGGAGTCCATAATAGAGAAGTATTTGACCTCCAAAAATGTCCAGGAAGGTTAATGTGGTAGAATTATCCCCCAAAGCATGAGCAGCTTGCAGTCCATCCTAAACTGAAAGCAAGCCTTTCAGAAGAGGAGAGGTGCAGCACTGATCTTGGTGAATGAAGACTACTTTTTTCTAATGCTAAACATTTATGAAAGTTGCTCTTTGAGGAATGAAATAAAAGGCAGATTCATTTGTGTGTTGTATAGAACTCCAGGAGTGTTTGCAGTCTCTCCTGGGATTAATGGAAACAGTACATAGAGAGTTTGGGAGTGGTTGTTAAGATTACTTTGTCTTGTCACAACTTTCAGCAGTATTTTGTCGTTGTTTTAGGATTTGCTAGTGTTTATTCTTGATTCCAATGATGCTTTAAAGGAGGGAAGGAGTATTTAGCTGCTAGGTCCACAGAAGTGTAAATATATTTACAGTTGATTGGACTGAGCACTCCATTCTTCTGTATAAAGTACAAAGACTTGGTATGTTGTTAGCAAAAGGCAAAGTGGCTTGCGAGATTTTTGAATGTAATGGAATAGACTTCAAAACTACAAAGCTCAAACTGGAGACTGGATACCTTTGGACCAAATCTGTTGTTAGAGGAGAAGCTACTAGCTGAAGTAGCCTTACCAGAAAGCCAAAAATACAATGATTCTATACAAAGCTACTCCTTAACCAGTCCTGTCACATAGTGGCAGGCTGGTTACTGCTACTGTGAGCTCAAATTACCTAAAAGTAACTAAGCACAAAGACATAGGCTCTGTCAGGAGACTTCAGATGTTGGCTGAAGGCTCCGTTTTGAAGGGATTGTGTTCTGAACGCACATTTCAGAGTGCTGCCAACCTTCCCCAAACATGCATGTAGCCTTGTTTTCAAAGGCAGCGTTTTGGGTAAAGATGGGACTTGGGCACACCAGATACAACAAGCCTCTTCTATTGTTATGTGTTTTTCTGGGGGGAAAAAAAAAATAAAAAAAATCTGTATGAAATATAGCAAAAATGAGTTCAGGTTAGTGACACTTTGACTCCATGGTCATTTCTAGCTTCCTCAGCGTCGCATCTGTTCTGAAACGCACCAGACATATGAACGGACTTTTTGATGAGAAGACGAAGTTATTCTGTTAGGTGCAAAGCCAGCAGTGTTTGGCTTAGCTTTAAGCCATGGAAGCGAGCAGGTCTTGCGTTGACAAAATTCAGAGGCAGCAGGTCTAACTGACTTAGCACAAACATGGGCACAGAGCCTATGGAAGTCCTCTAGCCTTGCACAGTTCAAGAGGAACAGGCCTTCTGCTTGAGACACGGGGACGGCTCGCTCAAGTTGTGTGAATGAACAATGAGGTCCGGGCACCAATGAATTCTTGCCCAGTCTGGAAGTTGTTGAGCACCAGTTTCCAAGAAACCTCGTGGAAAAAAAAATTCTGGAGGTGTCATGTTTCTCCTCTCCTCTTTCTTTTTTTTTTTTTTGTTTCTGTTTAAAATAAATTTTAAATAATCTTTGTAGACAATCAGAG